AAACGATAGTGACAACAGTGAAGGTAAGGGTGATGGTAAAGGTGATAGTGACGAAAATAAACTTTAAGATGATTTTGATGATCAGTGACAATGGAGATAATGAAAGTGATGCAGGTGATGATATGATGATGATGATGATGATGATGATGATGATGACTGTTAAGATGACGATGATGATGTTGTTGATGATGATCATGATGACGACAATGATGTTGATGATGATCATGACAATGATGATGACGGTTATGATGATGATGATGTTGATGATGATGAAGATGATGATGATGATGACGATGATAAGGAGGTGGAGAAGGGACAGGATGAAAAATACTAATATTAATATTGCTGTTTGCATTTACAACTCCTGCAGCATTCATGTACGGTTATTTTCTTACACGTGTTTTGCTCCTGTGTTCATTCGCAGGTCATGTTTAATCAGTCGAATGATAAACTTCAGGTCATTTGCAGTGCATCTGAAAATGACAAAAGCAATGATATGTCAAGGAAAATGATTTAAGCAGTCCCAAGTTTGTGGGTCAACAGTGACTAACTTTTATTGTCACATCAAGCTACCCTTATGTCTAGGCTAATAGATGTAAAAACATGCATTCATGAATGCAAACCAAACGAATGTAAGCAGTTTACTCAATGTACAAATTATATGCGGAACATTTAATCAAGGGTTTAAGATTTCCATACTTCCTTGCCATTTTTGTCAGCTCCCTCTGTTGATCATCCTCCTTTGTAAAGCTCTTCAGTGTATCCAAAAACAAATCAACCTAACAGACCATGTTACAAACATGTAAACTAAGGATGGCTCCACATCAATAACAGCCTGACTGCATACTAGTCTACCAAAATTATGTTTTGTCCACTGAAGGGTGGTTAAAAAGTGTCCACCTACAGTATGGGAGGTGATCATTAGAAGGAGTGATTGTTAGCTGAGGTGACTGTAGGAAGAGGTGTTTGTTGGCAGAGGTGTTTATTAGCAGCAGTGTTCATTAGCACAGGTACCTGTTAGTAGGTGTCACATGTTAGCAGAGGTGTCAGTTAGCAAAGGTGTTCGTTAGTAGCTCAATATTAAGCTAGCTTGCTAGCTTTTTTATTGTTCATTAGCTGTGGTGTCTGTGTTGGCAAAAGTGTAAAGAGATGGAAAATCTGGGTCGATCATTGAATCTTTGCATCCTAGCCTCAGCTGTTCAAAAGGTGATAACACTATCCATCAGATAAATTACTATCCACTAGTTTCCCTTACACTTGTCCACTAAATGGTGATTTATACAGTGGATAGTGCTATCCAACTGGGGCCTTGAGCACAATTCAAACCAGTTGAATTTTGTGCAAGATGACCTTTTCATACAGACATCATCCATAATGTCATGCAACATATCCCTGCTTTTGTTGCACTGTTAAACTTTGGCTTGATGCAAGTCAAAACCCTGCTGGACTAGTTGAGCAGTAGAGTGCTTGACTGCAAAGTGGTAGGTCCCAGGTTCCATTCCCTGGATTGGACCAATACGAGTATTGAGAAATAAGGGTGCTGACAGTCTTTGTCCCGCAAATAGCAAATAAATCTTTTTTTTTTTCAACATACCTCTTGCAGGGCAACTAAGCTCTTCTTCAATGGCTTTAAAAGAAGGCCACTTTCAAAGAAAGTGCTGACAGTTTCAGACACATCTCCCTATATAAAAAGAAACTCATTATTTGGATTAAAAAAAATAAAATAACATCACATTTTATAGCTCTATCTAATGTGATACTTTCATCATTAATTTTGTCATTTTCAATTCCTAACCTGTTCTAAGTCTGTCAACATATCATCTTGACTACAACCAAATATCTGAAAATAGACAATAATAACTATCACAAATTTAATATAATCTCTGATTTTCTACAGCACTCTAATCAAACTTTATAAATAAATTAATATGCTTCTACATTTTCATATTTCAGTAAGTTGTGAAACTCACAGAACCATGATCCCAGGAATATATTTGAGATGTTATTGTGTAGTGAGAAAAAAGCCAATAAAAAAGTTTATGGTTTTAAGGTTTGCTCACGCGTCCTGAATTTAATTGTGATAGGTCACTATATTCTACACAATAAACAGTCCCAAAGTTTTTTAGGTGTTCACGGTTTTCTGAGATTGACAATAATTATTAGTAATTTATTGTCTTTTTCTGTCTTTTTTTCCAAATAAGGCTCCAGCTTCATTGAACTTGTTTTAGAAAGTTAGAAATTGAGACTACAATAAATAACAATAATATGTTTTGCATCCTAAAAGCACGGTACTTACTACCAAACCACTCTGAGGTATATTCGAAATCACTAATTTTAAACCATGCACTTTTCTTTAAGATGGATTTACATGCACACCTCTGTTGTTTTTTGTACCTGGCTAAATAGTTTTATGAGCTGCTTGCTTTGTAAGTTGTAAACACGTTTGTTTACTCCTGGCAATAACATCTTTACCCATAATAAGAGATTGCCTTCAAAACCATCTGAAGAATAAAAAAACAATATCAAGAGTTTGTACATGCATCTTCACATTTTCTCAAATCCCTCGATGTAAGAAACCCCTGGATTATGCGAGAGGTTATTAAACTTCATGTTCACATTATTAACGGCAAACACAAAATTGCACTAGGTGACCATGTTGTTTACTGTTCATTATTTCTACACCTAAATATATAGTAGTTTCACAGAATTTATAAGAATTATTAATTTTGAGCAGTTTTTATCTGCTCATTTTCTACTTTGAGAAATTTTCAACTTGAATCTGAAGTTTGCCATATAGGTGAAGCTTAAAATCTCTATAAATTCTTTATTCTATTACTATTGTGAAACAAAGTCAATCAAATACGTTCCTAATATTGCATAAAAATACCAACCTCCAGAGGCCCCTTTCTCGAAGAAGTCTTCTAGAATCTTGCTCTTGGCATTATAGCTTGGTTCTTCAGCAAGTTTAATACAGATTCTTCTAAACTGTCTGAATGAATTATCCATGCTATTCTTGTCATTTCCAGTCTTGACTGGAGAAGAACTCTGATCACCACTACCTTTGGGAGCAGCAGTTGTCTTAGGAGACTTAGATGATGCTGAAGCCTTGGTATTACCAAATGCTAGAGTGGACTGCACTGTTTTTTTCTTGGGTGAAGGAGTTGTTTTGGATGACAAATCTAAGAATATTGTTAAAAATACCATTAAAAACAAAATAATTTATTGCTTGTTGTCTACTTTCCTCTTTAATTGGATTCTCATGGGAAAAGTTGGAAACATCCCTTATGGGTGATAGAATTTTATTTTGCTGGCATAACACAGATTCAAATTAATAAAGGTACCCCAAACCACTAACACAACAACAGCTGCTGTCAATTTTTAGCTCAATTCCTTGCGTTAACCTGACAGTGTATGAAACCTACTCTAATGAAATCTCTCCCTTTGGAGTTCATGGTCACAAGGAAGTGAGGAAGGTAATAAATATAGCTTGCGCAAGGCTGTGCTCTTAGGAAAATTGAAGGGAGCCCAGTGCTCCAAAACTGGAAAATCTAGGGTGCCCAGCATATGATTTGTATGAAAAAACTGAGATTTGCTAGTCGCCCGAGGGCAAAAGTTAGGCGCCAGGGGCCACTGAGCTCTGCTAGAGCACAGCCCTGAGCTTTGGAAAAGGCTATTTCTTCCTCCTCCACCGTTGCAACCCACTATGACTCTTAGGGCACTTACCATTAAATAAATCTTTGTCAGAACTGGCTGGCCAGACCATTGCCCAACCAGTCAGTTTGTAAATGAAATCAGCTTTTTCCAAGAGTTTTTGCTGAAAAACCATCTCCTTTGTGCATATTATTTAGGATTTGACTGATCTGGCTGCAGAATTTGATTAAAACCGAAATTATCATTGCGACGGGAAAGGTCAGCCGGTCAGTTCCTGTGACAAATAGAAAGGGCCCTTACTCTTAGCCTCTTGTAATCCTAGGGGGGTACTCAAGAAAGTTTTATATGGGAAGGCCAACTCCTTACCCTTTTATATACCATTTTTTCAAGAAAAGGTATTTCTTTCATATACCATATATACCTTCTATTGACACTCCTTTCACATACCTAGTTTCAACTGCTGCAAATTAATGCACTGTCTTTTAAATATGAATGAATTACAGCTTAAGCTCCAGTTGTTCAAATGTTGGATAACGCTATCCACTGGCCTTTTGAACAGGCAGGATCAGAAATTTTCTTGACTCTTTCACAACCATATAATGCATCTGTTGGCCTTTTTGCGCCTCTCTGCAGACCGAAATGACAGATTTCCCTACCCTTCATACACCAACAGCCTGAAAATTGTACCCCGGCCGTACAAGGAGATCGTTTAAATTTAAGCATTTTAGAATGAAAACACTGAAAGGGCCTGGACACTGAAACAAATCCTATAGGAAATAACACAGACCTTTAATAAGGCCTTTGATTTCCTTTTGATCATCATCATTCAGTTTCTCGAACCCATCTAAATCGTCCGTGCTGTCAATTTTCTTGGTTGTGGCTCGTGCTCTGGAAAGGGACTCAAATATGCAACGAACATGATACCACTGTTTCATCATTCCTCCATCTTCACTAAACGGATTGGAAACCAATTTACCAATTCGCTTGGAGTTCTTTTCTATCTGCTGCTTGCATGTTTTGCATTTAGCTCTTCCTTGTGCAGCGTACTCTACCACAAAAGGTTTCTCTTCGGATGAAGCCATCGCAATGATGTGCAAACACCGTCGTTGATTATGGGCTACACTGTGCTTGAGAAGCTTGATGCTAACTCTCGTAATGACAAACATTGACAATATACACTCATTTTATACAGTCTTTTTGCAATGCTGTCAAAAACTCAAGGCAAGTTCGAACTTGTAGGTAAATAATAAATCAATCGCCCACGATCCGCCATGTTGTTTTGAATATAGTGAAATGCATTCTGGGAATTTAAGTTTTCAAAGTCCGCTGACCAATCAAGTGCTGCTTCACAAAAAATCAAAATGGACGACTTGTTTGGCGATCTTCCTCCACCTTGTAATACAGAAAATAGAATCTACTTCTTGCCTTAGCTTTTTAAGATGCACAAAATAACACTTTTTTCTTGTATTTTTCAGTAAGCGGAGGTGATACTTCGAGCTCGGCGGAAATTAATCTATATGATGATCTTCCGGCCACCGAAAGTAGAAACAACAAAAGGAAACTTGACGATTGTGAAGACGACGAAGTGCCGGCTAAAACATCTGCCCTGCGTAAGATAATGAACATTTTTTTCTTAGTTTTAAGATATAATCTAGGTGTTTAGGTTGTAGATTTATTAAAGGGTGAGTTGGGGACGTACCATTTAGTGTCAGCAGCCCAAATGTACTCCCGGCCCGCTAAGGGACCCTTTGTGTCCAAATACCAAACCCCACTATTCGAAAACACGTCATCCTTTATTATAGGGGGGAGGGGGGGGGGGGGGGGGGGGGGGGGGGAAAAGGGGAAAATCCCTGAGAAACCCTTCTCCCCCATATTTTGGGTTTTTTATTTTTTTTCCGCCCTTACCCCCCTACCGCAGGGCTATTTGGTCTCTCTCTAATATTTGGCTTTGCGGGGTCTCTGTGTAGGGGGTTGGGGGATTTTTAAGGGGGGGGGGGGGGGGGGGGGGGGAGGTTGCGGATGAAAAATGGAACATTCCTGTGAAACCATTCTCATCCATTGATTTGCTGTTCTATATTTTCTGCTGCCTTACGCCCTTACGCTAGGTGCTTCTTGGACTTCTCGAATATTTGGCATTACGTGGTCCTGGTATAAGGGGTTATGGGAATTTTTAATGTGAGGCAGACACGATCATGGGAAAGCAGTATTAAAGAATGCACAAGGCATGGGAAAGGGTCAATGTGGATCATACTCGGTAAATCTCAGTTTTACCCTAAAGTAGGCAAAATGCTTTTTTCTTTCTATTTCCAATCACTTGAGAACCATGCACTTAAAAAATTAAAGTTATCAATCTGTGAGCCATTTATATTGTTAGTTTCTGGAGAGCATCCAGCACCAACACTACCCAACTTTCTCCCACAGAGTCCAAATATATTCTGAGAGGCTTTGTTGCTGAAAGAAAAGGGGAAAGGTTTGACATGCAAGATGCACATGTCATCTGTGATGATTTCTTAGAAGAATTTGACACTAAACCCACTGGAATGTAAGCCACATTTATATTCTTTTAGAATATATTTAAATAGAGCTGGTAATAACCAAAGGTTAGGGAGTGCAGGTGACATCGATCGGAGCTCCAAATGCTTTTGCTCCAACGCTGTGCTTTGCATAAGTTTCACATGACAGATGATCAAAACACGCTTGATCAGATTATGAGGGGTAGAAAGTAGAAATGAGAGTGATCAAATTGAGTTTTGTGAATTCCATTCATTCTTAGTGGAAGTCCAACCGAATATTAGCTACATACGTGTGACGCACGTGTAATAACAACCTGGAGATTAGGACTAGTGCGTGCTCCTCTTTTTACCCGCAATCAATGGGTTGGGACACGTAATATTCCAAAAACATTTCTAGAGTTCACCATTTTGAGAGGGTGAGACTCACTGCTGAAACATCCATAATGAGTTACCTGTGGCATTACTATCGGTCAAGTCCCAAGGGTCACAGATAGCCTACACTGCAATATCTCACACTGTAACCTGGTTTGTGTAGCTTGAAGAAGTAGTGTTTCCTAGATAAAAGTATCATTCAGCCCAACTATTGTGAATTTTCATGAAGTTAGAAATAAAGTCAGAAAGTCAGTACCATCAGATTAGATTGTCTCACTGGAAAAATACACTGTGGACTCCATTTTATCCGCTTGTTTATGTATGTTGTAAGAAGGCTTTCTGTTTACTGTACCACTTGTTTTGGATCTTTGACACTTGCTACCTGCCGATACTGGGGATCTTCTGGCAAATCCTTCTTACAAATGAATTTTATGATTTTTTTGAGAATGATCTGTCTGTACTTACAGATCAAGGATGTGTTACTATGGTGTCTTTGATGGCCATGCTGGTCCCAGGGCTGCTCAGTTTGCCGCTGATCATTTACACAAGAACATTATTCTCAAGTTTCCAAAAGGTTGATGGTAAATACTATAGATAATGACTGGTCTCTTGAAGAAATCATTTAGTATAATGAAAGCTACATTTGTATTAATGAAACAGCACTTTTCTATGGTGCAATTTAGTATACTGTGTAAGGGTGTGCATGGTTAGACTAACTTAATTCTCAGGGTGTCACAATAGTGCTATCTGTCTGATGGCCTGAGGCTAGTGGAGCTGTTAGAGGTCAAAATTAAATTCAGGTTAAAATTTTTTAATCTAGGTTGATTCTCAATTTCCATTGTCTCGTAGCCCCAGGTAATAATATTATTCATGAATTTAGGCTAGAAGACAAAGAAAATTTTGGAGAATCAACTCAGGTTAAAAAATCTTGACCTGTTACAGAGCTACCCATCTTGCAGGCATGTTTTTATTGCAGTTCATGCGAAAGGCAAGCAGCAGTTATCAAGATAAAGTAAATTTTAGTTAAAAGGGGGGCTGATAGGCTGGGCTAGTAAACTTCAGCAGTAGCTTGCCTCAAGGGCAAGCAATTTTTTAATTTTCATCTCACCCAGTTTCTTTATTTTCGGTAAAATTTACAGGTTAAACAGTTAGAATAATAATTGTATACTGCATAGTAAACCTTTGTAACTATTGTCTTATTTGTGGCTGTATTGTGAATTTTTTGTGTACATTCAAGTTATTTTCTTATTCTTCTGTGTATTCTTCAACATTTTCAGGAGAAACAACCAACAAAGACAGAGAAATAAAAAAGTGTATGACAGAAGCTTATAAAAAGACTGATGATGAGTTCCTACAAGAGGCATCCAAAGCGTAAGTATCACAGGCATCCCAAACTTGCGTTATGAGGAAAGAGTGTAAAGTAATTTACTTACTATAGGTGACGTGTGACCTTTCTGCTGGACGCACCGGTGTCGCTTTGTAGGCGACCGTTGAAAATAAGAGACTTTGAGTGAGAAATAAAATACTGAGATTAGTTCGAACGCTAAATAACGTTAAATCTAATCTTTCCTTCAATGAAATGAATGAAAAAGACTTACCTGTGATGTATTCCACTGTGTTTCGGTATCTGCTTGTCATTTTACTGATTTTTTTTGGGCTTTATTGCATAACCACTGTTACTCCCTTTATAAGACGAAGTCAAGGCTGGTCACTTCAATCTGGCTGGGTCCTGGACCAGTCACAACAAAAATGCCGCTTTTTCGCTGAAATTCAAGTCTGCTGCCAATTTTTTCAGCACTAACCCAAGAGAGAAACCTCCTTTTCCTCTCTAAGAGATCGGCTCGAAAAAAGCTTTATAATTTCCCCATCAAATTGAACCATTTTGTGCCGGACTTTGAGGCATGTCTGGAGTTCGTCCAGTGCCTGTGATTGCTGTTGCGCTTACCTACTAATTTGCATATATTATGACAGTTAGCACTTACATGACGGGTGCAAGGGTGAAAATGACATGTTGACCAGGCTCTTTCACTGTAAAGACGTAAGCCCTTGCACCCGTCGTGTAAGTGCTAATTGTCATAATGCAAATTAGTTGGTAGGCGCAACAGCGGTCACAGGCAGTGGACGAAAGCCAGACATGCCTCAAAGTCCATGCAGCACAAATGGCTCAAGTCGATGGGGAAATTATAAAGCTTTTGTTTTCTCTTAGAGAGGAAAAGGAGGTTTCCCCCTTGGGTTGGAGCTAAAAAAATTTTTTCGTCACAAAATTTTTTGATGCTCACTTAGATCACCAGTATGGAAAGATGGTTCCACTGCTGTCACAGCTTTAGTTATGGATGATGTGTTATATGTAGCCAACCTTGGTGATAGCAAGGTATCACTACATCATTATTTGTTACTTAAACTAGTAATAACCAAAGGTTAGGGATTTCAGGCGTGATAGCTCAAAAGTCGAAACACCCTAACGGCTTATACCCTCGGTGCTGTGTTTTGTGTAAGCTTCACATGTAGAATATCAAAATGCAGGTAATCAGATTACAAGTGATAAAAGACCCAAACGCATGTGACCAGATTGTATTCAATGCATTCCTTTCATTCTTAGTGAAAGTCCAAAAAAATGCTGGCGATATATGTGCCGCTTATGTGTAACTGGAGATCAGGATTACAGCGTCTTCTGTTCTCTGCAGTAATATTATTAATATTTCATGACACCTTGTAATTTATGACAAAGCAGCATGTTTTGTCCAAAGGGAACTGAGATTGCTAATCTGCAATGAGTTTCCAAGAAAATCTGTTGGTAAATTCCTCAAGGATGTTGTGTTGTACTCAGCCTGTTGTGACCATTTCAGTAAAGGCATTTAAAAAAATATATGTTGGTGGTGATGGAATTCTGTTATACTGACGTTTTAGTGGAGATCATAGCAGGTGTTTTTTGTTCATTTATTTATTTGTTTATACCCTCCAGGCACTGCTTTGTCGATGTAGTGATGATGGTAAAATTTCAGTAGTTTCTCTATCCAAAGATCACTCACCTTCTCAGGTAAGAAAAACGAAGAATTATACCATTTCTTTTTGATAGAGTGGCAAGTTGCTGTTAAAACATTGAAAATAAATACGACGGGAAAAGTTACGACTTTTAATTAAACCATGCCAACTCAGGACTAATTAAGGCTAATGACAATTGAGATAGATTTTAATACAGTAATGGTCTTTTTTTACTCACATTCACAGTACGAGGAGAGGATGAGAATTCAAAAAGCAGGAGGAAATGTCAGGTTAATTCCATTTTTTTTAAAATTCCTTTTATTCGTAGTGTCATATAAAAATTACCGTAAAAGTCAGGGATGCATTGTTAGGCCCCTTCTTCAGGTACACAGCAGTGAAGAGCAGGTTGTCCTTAAGTCTTTTGGGGAAATCTTCTTAACAATATATAATCTTTTGGCAATGGTAAATTTGACTTGAATACTACGCAGCAAGCAGCAGGTTTTTGTTCTGTCGCTGGATTTACATACCCCATAACAGGTGAGGTCCATTCCTCTTAAACCTCCAAGCCCCAGTGTCCTTATGCAATTCTCCATGGTAATCTTTATACATTCCTTTAATAATAAGTTAAGAGAATTTGATAAAAGATCAAAGCATTTTTCCCAGGTGATCATTTTGTTAACTCTCTTAACCTTTTCTTTTGATTATTTATTGTAAGGAGAAAATTGATCTTGGTCACCATTGATGATATTCTAAGCCACTTAAGCTATTTTAGTTGCGCAGCGTGTACGTTTCGTGGAAGTTTTAGTGACAAGATATATGTGGGGAAGTTGTCGAGACAATAGGGTTTGATCACGGATATGCACTGCACCAAAATCCGGTGTAATACGATGATACGATGTTTTGAGGGTTTATTGTTGTTCACCGTTAGGGAAGGCCGTGTTCTTGGTGTTTTGGAGGTTTCTAGATCCATTGGAGATGGCAGATTCAAGAGATGTGGAGTAAGCTGTGTTCCTGATGTCATGAGATGCACAATCACAGACAATGACAGGTATTAAGTGGCACAACATAAGAGGGGGACCGGAATACAAGTAGTTTTTTATCTTCACTAAGGACATCAATGTGAAGATTTTAAAGGTCGTCGTTCCCTGTGAAAAGTGTAATTTTCTAACCCTCCCTCCCAAAAAAATTTGTTCGAGCTGTGATTCTTTCCTAATACTGTTTTAGAGTTATAATAGATCACTGTTGTTCTTTAGGTTTCTGCTGTTGGCTTGTGATGGTCTCTGGAAAGGTTTCTCTGTAGATTCTGCGTTAAAGTTCATCAAAAATATTTTGGAGGTAACTTGCCAATCATTTACTTGTGACTGCTTCAAAACATTCGTTCTAATCAATTTGTCCGGAGAAAGCTAGCGCTTAAAATGTCAGTTCTTTTCAATCTTTTTACCTTAGTATAAAATTGTCTTCAACTCCGTTGATAAAATTGCATTTTCGTGTTTATCTCACGCACCAACGCTGCCCAAATGCTTAGCCTTCTTTTGCGCTTAGCGCTTGTTTGTGTCCCCTTCTCGCTCGGCTCCTGATACCACACTCGCTGGTAACCATGGAAACGTCTTTGTAGGAGGAAGCACTTGTAATTTTACTGTAAGGCTGGAGGGTGGAAGTGTCCTGATATCCGGGCCTAGGTCCCCAGGGGGTCCTCTACGGAATTCTTAGTGAGGGTGTGCCGCCTGGTTCTCCAAATCCTGACCCTATTTCAGACCAAAAAATGTCATTTTTCACACCTGTTTGCAGACCTGGCCTCTAAAACTTACACCCATTCTCAGACCTGGCCTTTAAGAATTATGCCATCATTACTTATATTAGAACAGCAACAAAATTGGAATTCGCATATTTCTCTTTCTTTCTTCTCATTTGAAATTGAAACAAAAAATATGTTCGTACACTCCCGTAGTTCCTTTGAAACCATACATGTACCCGATTCCAGATTCCAAATAGGCAAATTCTATACCCGTTTCCAGACCAAAGTGGCACAAATCCCTACCCTTTAGGGTGGCACATACCTGTATGGCTTATATAGGAGGGGACCTCCCGCCCCCTGGGGAGGCCTAGGCATTCTCGTCACAGTGAATAATTTATTTTGTTTCCTTTTTCATATTGATAGAGTGAGGAGACTGAGGAAAGTATTCAAAAAGCTGAAAATGGTATGCTTTTGATTTCAGTGAAGGTTAATTTAAGACTTTTTAATAGCTCGACATTTATAGTTTCTATCTCATTCTATATCTGTGTCACAGCAGTCCAGTTCATTTTGTTTAATTTTGCCAATTACTCGCCCATAGTCGCTATGGAACTTAAAGTAAGCAAAGAAATTACATGTAAATGACAGTATCAGAGATCCGAGACAAATATGTCTCCTGAGCATTATTTTTGAAGTTGTAAGCAGCAGGGATCAACTTTGAAAAACTGTTAGGCTGAACAGTTTTCAAAAACCCTAATTTCAATCCGTTTCAGTCTTCTTCAGTTTTGCCCATCCGTGGCATTTGTTGTTTCTGTTATGCTATTTTAACCTTCCTTTAAAGTTTTAAGCGGTTATTTTTATGTTTCTCTTAATTTAACGGGCATTTTGTAATTCCCTAATTTGGCTGAATTTCGTGACACAGTTCCTTTAATTCCTTCATCCCGACCTAAATTTTCCCTTAATCCCTTAATCCTGATGGTGGTTTGGCACCCTTATCCCCCGCATACTTTCAATCCCGAATCTAGCCCCGATTTTGCGGTAAAATCCCGAATCCTTCAAATTTGGCAAATCCCGGATACAAGGTTAGAAGAAGACTCAACTGAAGCACATTGACCCACGGGTTCCCCAGGCTCTATATGGAAGTTCGTTGAAATTTTTAAGTACAACTTAAATCTAAAACACGATAAAACGGCTTCTAAATGGCTCCAGAAGAGAACAGACCGTAAAGCACACAACACAAACACAAGCTGAGTCATTTTTATTGTAAATTTTTTTTCCAAAAATATAATTTAGATCGTTTTTTGTTTATTTTCATACATTCTCTTATAAAATTCAAATTCCAACGAACTCTCATGTAGAGTCTGAGCCACTTGTGATTGACCATAAAAACATTTTTTGGCCCGCTAGTAAAATGATACGGGGATCATTGAAGGCTTATAAGTTTACTAATCTTCAATATCATGATTTTTTCGTCGTTAGACTTACCTAGTCACCCCTCCCCTCGCTTATTTTTTCATCCGCTGCCCAGTATGATACGAAGGCTTTGTCTCGCCGTTGGCGCTAAAGTTACAACTGTATGACAACTGACAGTTAATTGCGTGTTTTGAAAGCTTAGTCATCTTTATGGGGGAAGCTTCCATTTTTTTTTTAACTTCTGGTTGCATAAATAATTGAACTGAAAAACTTTTGCCCGTAGAATCAATGGATGACAAGTTAAGGAACTGCTTTCTCATTTGCAGGTTCGGAAGATGTCGAAACTGACCCAATGGCTGCGCGGTTTCAGAAAGCATGTGACAAAGTCGCTAGTGAAGCTGTCAGAAATGGGAGTTCGGATAACGTGACAGTAATGCTAGTGTCAATCACAAGACAGTGAATTCAAGAAACTGGACGGAGGAGAGGGAGAGGATTATTGTATCTTCCAGGGAGTTTTCAACCCTCCGGTCCCCTCTAAAGAGAAGCTATGAGAAGTGGAATCATGTAGCCTGGCAAACACACTTATCCATCGAAAGACAACAGCTTCATTAAGTACTCAACTTCAAAGAGCAGACAGGGAATCAATATTCTTTTCCTGTAAGGTTATTTGACATCTGTCTTTCCTCTCACAAGTGAAGCTTTCAAGAGGGAAAGTTTGGATGATGTGAAACTCATGCCGTATCCACCAGTAAAGTGGACAGTGACGCAACTTTCATTCTTAGAGAGAGAGAGCACAGCGGGTATTTTACGTTAGGAACTTTTTCGAATACCGAACTTTCAGCAAAATAGCAATAGTAGAGTTATCTGCAGTTTAATTCTTTCATAATCCACTCGTTGAATTGAAGAATGTGAATGGACTCCGATTTTTTAAAAGATTTATATACTGACTGAGTTATAGAAATTATGTGACAAAAAAAACGTAATTACTCTAACGTGTTTAATAAAAGATGACACTTTATTGTGATTTGCCAGTCACTAATTGATATCGCTCATCTATAAGAAACAACGTAATCGATGATGCTTGAAAAGTAAGAATATGTATCTGAAAAATCTTCCCTTCCTTGGGGCTTTGAGCCTCTTGGAATCACATTTTCAACCACGTGAATTAACTGTTTTTTCATACGAAATGAACATTTCGGCAGAACAGATAACCAGATTTCCCCGCGAGTAGTAGCCATCTTTGATTTTGATAGCAGAGGAAGTCTGAGGAGAGCAAAACGTGAGATCATAGTCTGTTCCAGGCTTCAAGATACAGTGGAACCACGAAATAACGAAGGGCCAAGAGACTGGCAAAAATGTTCGCTATTCACCATTCTCACATAGGCCATAATGCACGTTGTTTGCCCCCCAAAATTTTGCATAACCATTGTCCTCGATTTCTCTTGGGACGACTGTAATACCCAGGAGAAATTGGAAACAATAGTTATGCAAAATTTTGGGGGGTAAACAAGGAGCATTATGGTCTATGTGACAATAGCGAATAACGAGGTTTCGTTTAATCGAGGTTCTTTTTCATATATTTTGCTATGAGAGACACGGATAACGAAAATCGTTCGTTAAACCGAGGGCTATGTTATATAGAGTTTCGTTATATCGAAGTTCCACGGTAGTATGTGCGCGATCGTGAGAACTGTAGTGTGACGGAAAACGCGTCTTATCTTTGCTTCACCTTGTTTACAGGCCCTAGTATCTGAGATCCTGGAACATGTTAGTGCGAACAATATAGTGATCTACCGCGGGCATAAGGCGAAAAGACGAAGTGGGGTGAGGAAAGGAAATACTCCGCGCATGATCCCCTTCTCCCTGTCTCTTGTGGCTTGTACCATCACCCAGGCTTTAGTTTTGTTTTTTAACAGCAGCCTTAAGAACATAGGCTTAGTTCAAGAGGCTCCTGCTTCGTCAAAAACCGTGAAAGAACTAAAATAATTGTCATAAGGTCTACACGTCAACTGAATAAAATAGTTCAATTGTACTAAAACTGACAGTTGGCTAGAACTAAGAAACCATTTATATCCCTCCTTAAAAAAATTGTCCATCCTAAAAAGAGACCTTTCTGTGACATGATCTTCCACGATTTCATTCTTCGCCCAAAAACGTAACAACGTGGCAGGACTGATCTTGTCACACCACAATTTCTTGAGGCCACATTCGTGCTTCTTTTTTCCCACACATTTGTTGCTTCCAGCCCATAAACGAGACCTTCCGTTTTATGTCCGCGCATCACTCCAACCTAAGCCTTTTCAGATCCACTTCCTGATTTCAATTATGATTACCCATTAGGGTCATCTCATTTCCAGTGCCCTAAAGCGGTTTATGGCAGCGGCAATTTCTAAGAGTCTGGGTCGAGAATAGCATCCGAGTAGAAGCGTGGGACTAAGTACGTCCAGCCCTTTAGAATCAAAGTCTTCTTCAACCCTGAAAATATAAAGAAGGATGTCAAGGAGATTTTCAACTGACTAGGAATATTTTTGTGGCAAAACACCCAAAACGCAAAGTACTTACTTTTGTAAGACTTCCAAAAGCGACCTTTTCCCATCCATATAATTATTCCGGGCATACAGAATAGCGTCTGCTATAGCTCTAAGAAAAATAAGAACCCAAGACGTCATGGTTATTTTTTTGTTCAAGGAAGCGTGCTCTGCAGTAAACTCACCCTACGAACAGAGCCTCTTTTTGTCTTCTTGATCGTGAAGGAGCAAAGGAGGCTCTACCTTAATTACAATCTGGTTTTCTCTCGTCAAACTAGTTTTCCGATCACGAGCATCCTTTTATTAGAGAACTTTGATTCTAAGACGAGTACGAGATTTTCTCAATCCTAAGTAGCGCTCGCGCGAGAACCAGTGTGATTTTGGCGGGAAAATGTGGTAGCCGTCGTCATTCTACTACGAGTTTTAGCGCGAATGTCGTGGTGGCGAAAACAAGATAACAAATGCGATCGGGAAAGCGCGTAACCTCCTTCACTATAACGATAACAGTGCTAACTTTTCTAGTGAAATATGGTAAACTGAAGCTTTCCGGGGAGTCTATATTTTGAGAAAAAACTTTAAAAAACTTTAAGTCAAATCTCGTACTCGTAGTCGCCCTCGTCTTCGAATCTAAAGGTCTCTAGTTCAATAAACTGATGGTCACAACTGAGCGCGGTGTACCAAGCGTCCAAGTATTAGGCATGGGTTCGAAACTACATCCTAGCGACATGCTGCGCATGCTCAACATAGATCTTACTCGATTCATGCGAGTCCCGTACGCTAAAATCGAGAAAGTGAAAGAAAGGCTCTACTGGCGGGTTGAAGTAAACCGCTTTTTGCTGTCAAAAGAATGATGGCTATAAATATACCGTAAAATTCCGAAAATAACCCCCGGGGCTTATATTTTTCAAAGGCCCTTTTTGAGGGGCTTATATTCGGAGGGGCTTATGTACGGAGGGAAATTTGCGTTTCAAAATCGATTGGGCTACCTTGTAGTGGGAAGGACATTTACCATTTTTGCTTTGTTACTTCGGCGGAGCGCGAAATAAAGGATTCGCGGCGCTCAGGAATGTATCAAAGTTGACTTTTTTGGACAAGATTGGGCACGCAAAGTCTGTAGGTTTTCGGTTTTATTCGGCTGTTTGACGAAGTGAGAGCCGAATTAGTTCGAGATATCTCGAGATCACTTCGATTTCTGTGATTTATTACGTGGGATGACATAGTCAGTCAGCGTCTTAAATTCGGAAGCGCATTCCTTTCGATACCCTGGGTACCAGAGGGTTTTTTCACATGCGGTGGGAATTTTCGGATGGGGTCGCATTTTCCCGACTGGATTGACTATTAATGAGGTTGCATTTTCAAAAGAGTTACTAGAATGGGGTCGCACATTTTCGGATTTTTGGGGTAAGAGAGCTGTTCATATTTACCGTTAGCAAACGTATCAGGATATTTGTACTGTAGGTGAAAAGTAAAGTGTTCTTCATTCAATTTTTTTTTAAAATCAAAATGATTAGTAAAAATAATGACCCCAAATTTACTTTTCCATTTAAAAGACAGGAAATGTTCGGCGGCGTTGTCCATGTTTCTCATATGGCGCGAAAACTTACTTTCATATGACAACATACGGTTTTTTTTTTTGCACGCTCAGGAGGTCAAAGGGATGTGATTTTTCATGAAAAAAATATTCACAAAATTCTGCTTGACTTGTTAAGAAAATAATTTGTTTAATTTTTAATAATTAACTAACAGCTCATTGATTTATTAATTTGGGCGACCGACTTGGAGGCCCGGGCACTCCAGCTAAAAATGCTTGGGGAGCCAAAGGGCTCCCTGAAATTTCCCCTACAGCACTTCCTTGCAGCCCTGTAATTATTGGAAGTATGATACAATACATGCTATTATTAAATGTGGAAGTGCATTTTTTGAAGACATTAGTAAAGGAATGCAAATTTTAGTGAATTACCCCATACTCCTAACATATATGGTGGTACTATTGATGTAAGTTTTGTTTTGAGTAGCAAAGGAACCCTTGTGTGTAACTCATCTCCTAGTGTATTAGTCCTTAACAGAACATCTCCGTCTCTCCTACACACATTTGTTGCATACACTACTCAACTTTCCATTGCCATCCAACATACCCGTAATTCTTTCTTACACCCACACATCCCGCGTAAACGCCTTCGGGCGTCTTCTTGTTCTTTAACTTTTTCGAGGGAGAAAGAATTATTATTTTGGCTTTTCCGGGGTTTGAACCGACTCACCTGTGCGACCCGTCAGATCAGAGGAGACTCTAAGTTGAGGGGTTAGCCGATTCCGCTACTGCCACCCAGGGTAGTTTGAAATATGAAAAATAGTTATGAAATGCACTAGTTTTGGGACAAGATTGGGCGTGCAAGTTCGTGACTTTTAGGCTTATTTCGGCTATTTCACGAAATGAGACCGGACTACTTCGTGATATCTTGAGATCACTTCGAGTTTAGTCTTTAATTTACTCGAGGAATAAATAGAGGATATTACGTGGCCACGCAGAGACACGGAATTTCTCTTCATTCGTTGCGTGACTTTCTCAAATTGGATTATTCATGAATAATCAATTAGGGCATGTTTACATTTCAGCATGAGTCAGCAGATTTGCATCTTCCTTGATTACTTAGACGGAGTTTAGTTAGAGTTATCCGGTGTTGGCCGTTGGTGACCTGGTGGAGATAATCTTCACATTTATAATTTTCTATTGTTTTAAATTTTCGGAAGGTTCTTAGTTTGTTCTTTTGGTTGGCGTCTTTCTTACGTCATTGTTTACGTCACTTAACAATCTTTGTAATTCGATGTCTTTCAGTCTTTGTTTGATAATGTTCAAGATTCCTATGTCATTTTCATGTGCTTTTGTCCAGAGGTATCCCAGCTCTATTTGGTCTAATAGGCGTTTGATTTTTTG